TGTAAATTTCTCCAACCTTTTATTTTCTTCAGTTTTATTGATCGATTTAATTTTAAAAGTTGACACAAAGAATGTGTTTACTTAAAAGAAATAATGCTTTTTTTCTTTACATGTAAATTTTGTACTCCACATATCTTTTCAGAACCACTTTTGTACGCCATCCTTTGAACCCCTTGCTGCTTTTTTAACAGCTACGAATGATTATTCATAAACCTAGTTTTAAAATGCGCAGTTCTAACGCTTTTCAACCTAACATATACAAAAAACAATAAAGTAGTGGAACTTTTTGGTACTAATTCGGAGTATTGCCTAATTCACATCATTAAGTATTTCCAACGATATACAATTATTTTTTCGCTTTTTTCTTCATGATCGATGGCCATTGGACTTCGGTCTTCTAATATTATTGGTTATAAAACAAACTTTGTTGGGGTTTAACTGACCGGAAACTTACGCTCGGCCAGATAGTCTTTCCTTTATGTTGCTGAAAGTAGGTGTTCAACCTTTTCCAATTATCACTTTACAGGCCTCAGTCTTTGGTCGAAGGATGCATGCATAGTTCTTGCAATATTGCTCCATAGAAATATGCGTCTTTAAAACGTTAGAGGTACTTATGCATACAAGAAAAGTAATAACTTTCATGCTAATTCACGAAATTGTCTTCTTCTTTCAGCTTTTTAAAGCACTTTCCTATTCTTTTATATTCCTAGACATTTTTCTGCTTCTCTTGGTTGATTGCTTCCTCTCGCATGTCCAACGATTTTTTAACCTCCTAGTTATAAATCTTTATTGTTTGGCCTATTTGACGGGGGCTAATCTGCTGATGTGCTCGTCTATCTATAATTCCAATAGCTTTTCCAGTCTTTTTTCAATTTGTACACAGTTTACCTCTTTATATCCTCGAACTTTAAAAATAGGCAATTTAAAACTATTTAAAAATCAAAGTCTCATTTTCTCATTAAAGTTCTACCCAGACGTTCATGCATACATTTGTGCATTATTTGTGCCTTAAGCTTCTTCCTGACCTGCCAGACTCAACCTGCCTGCTGCGATTAGTTACTCGTAGCTGCGTCACTGTGCTCCACGATCGGCCAGGGCTACTTGATGCGCTGCCGAGGAAGGGCTACCTACACCGCTTGGTCGATTTGCTGGCCGACATCTCGGATCCTGAAGGTGCTAAGGCGGCTGTCCAACTGCTGCACCAAATGTCAAAAAGCAAGGTTGTTTTTCAGGTCTTGTTTTCTTTCGGCCGATTTGCTTTTAAACCAAGTATTTTATAGCAGGCAGTAACAACCTGACAAATGATTACTCCTTTTTTCGCATGGTGAATATAGCCTGATTCTCATGATCTAACTTTTTACTAGGGCAAAGAAAGGAGATATAATCTCAGCTCTGACAAAATTGGGAAGAATTTAATAATTATTAGAGACAGAATTTGTGCACTTGATCATTGTTGAAGTAAATTTTATGGTTGAGTAAGAATTTATTTCTTGCCGCATTTGTTATTTTTGCTTTTATTCTCCCTAAATTTTCCTCATGCGAAATTGATAGGACCTCTTCATAAAATCACAGAACTAGCTATTATCATTAATTCATGCTTCTTTTATACC